TTGTGTATAGCTACCACATCTTCTTGATCCAGTCATCTATTTTTGGGTATTTGGGTTGTTTCCAGTTTTTGCCTATTGTAAATAGTGCTGCAATAAACATAGGTGTACAGGTGCTCTTTTGAATCACTGTTTTTGTGTCCTTTGGGTAGATCCCTAGTAGTGGAATTGTCAGATGGTATGGTAGCTCCATTTTTAGTAGACTGAGGAATCTCCACACAGATTTCCATAGTGGTTGGACCAGTTTGCACTCCCACCGGTAATGTAGGAGAGCTCCTTTTTCACCACATACTCGCCAACATTTGTTGTTGCTTGTTTTTTTGATAGGTGCCATTCTTACTGGTATAAGGGGGTATCTCAGTGTGGTTTTGATTAGCGTTTCCCTGATGATAAGGGATGTTGAACATTTTTTCATATGCCTGTTGGCTATTTGTATTTCCTCTTTGGAGAAATGTCTTTTGAGTTTTTTTGCCCATTTCTTGACTGGATTATTTGTTTTTGTTGAGCCATGTGAGTTCTTTGTATATCTTTGTGATCAGTCCCTTATCAGTTGAATGGAGTGCAAAGATTTTTTCCCAGTCAGTGGGTATCTTTCTGTTTTGGTTAATGTCTCTTTGGCTGTACAGAAACTTTTCAGTTTGATGTAATCCCAGGTGTTTATCTGTACCCTAGTTCTTGTATGCATAAATAAATAAATCTTTAATAAATAAATAAATAAATAAATAAATGTCTGATTATTTCCTATGGGCAGAAGGGACAATGCAGGAGGAAAGTCATCATGGGGACTCTTTGCGAAAGAAGATGACCTCGGTAGAAAAAGAATTATGGTGTTATCAACTAATGGCAAGGGGCTGAGGAAGAAAGCTGTATATGTTTTAATCCTCTTAACCTTATGGTTTCTGCAGGAAAACAGCAAGAGGAGCCCAGCAGAGGTCCTTTAAAGGGCCTCTTGAGAGGAAACAACATTTATTTATTTATTCATTCATTCACTCATCTATTCATCTATCCACCCATCTATTTATATTCCTTGGGGGCATATCTTATTAATAGCTGTGGGGGGAAAGAGATTCTATGGATCACTGGATTAAACTGATTTTTTTTAAATTGAATTTAATTTTATATAATTCTTACATCACTTTTCATTTTTGCACAGTGTATGCATTTTCATTTTGGTTATATTCCCCATACAATTCCAACCCCCCTTATTTTGACCCTAATCCCTCCTCTCCTCCCCCTTTCTCCCCATAGTGTGTCTTTGGTTTATAGTGTAGCTTGTTGCCTTTGATTTTTTCTTTATTCTAATTAGCCCTTTTCCTGGTCCCTTATTTAGGTTTTCTAAATTCCAGCTATGAGAATTTAGAAATTCCAGACCATCTGGTATTTTTCTTTTTCTTTCTGGCTTATTTTGCTGAGTATGATCCTTTCCAACTCCTTCCATGTCACTGCAAATTGCATGAGTTTATCTTTTTTGGTGGCTGAGTACTATTCCAGTGTGTAATATGCCACATCTTCTTGATCCAGTCATCTGTTTTTGGGCATTTGGGTGGTTTCCATAGCTTAGCTATTGTAAATAGTACTGCTATAAACATAGGGGTGCAGGTGCCCTTTTGTTTGTTTTTCCCCCATTTATTTATTTATTTGTTTGTTTGTTTGTTTGTTTATTAAACACTATTTGCTTCCCCCGACCCCCTTGAATTGAGTCCCCATAGAATTTCCTTCCCCAAGGCACCCATGCACCATCACCACATTCCCCTATGCTCTTCCCTCCCTCCCTCTCATTCCTCTCCCTCCTCCTCTGCAGTATGTCTCTGATTTATAATTGTCTGTATTTGCTTTGTTGTATTTTGTACTGTTATTACTTTTTTTTTACACTGATGTCTTATTTGGTTCCCCTATATTCCTGTTATAAGTGAAACCATCCGATATTTTTCTTTTTCCTTCTGCCTTATTTCACTGAGCATAATTCCTTCTAGCTCCATCCACATCGCTGTGAATGGCATGAGTTTATCTTTTTTGATTGCTGAATAATATTCCATTGTGTATAGCTACCACATCTTCTTGATCCAGTCATCTATTTTTGGGCATTTGGGTTGTTTCCAAAGCTTAGCTATTGTAAATAGTGCTGCTATAAACATAGGGGTGCAGGTGCCCTTTTGAATTAATGTTTCTGTGTCCTTTGGGTAAATACCTAGGAGTGGAATTGCTGGATCATATGGAAGCTTTATCTTTAGTAGGTTGAGGAATCTCCACACAGATTTCCATAGTGGTTGGACCAGTTTGCACTCCCACCAGCAGTGCAGGAGAGTTCCTTTTTCTCCACATCCTTGCCAACATTTGTTGTTGCTATTTTTTTTAAATATGTGCCATTCTCACTGGGGTAAGATGGTATCTCATTGTAGTTTTGATTTGCATTTCCCTGATTACAAGTGATGTTGAACATTTTTTCATATGCCTGTTGGCCATTTGCATTTCCTCTTTGGAGAAGTTTCTTTTTAGCTCTTCTGCCCATTTTTTGACTGATCTATTTACTTTATTTTTGTTGAGTCTCATCAGCTCTTTGTAGATTTTTGTGATCAGTCCTTTATCATTAGTGTTGTGTGTAAAAGCTGTCTCCTAGTTGGTGGGGTTTCTCTTTGTTTTGGTTATTGTCTCTTTTGCTGTACAGAAGCTCTTTAATATGATGTAGTCCCAGCTGTTTAACTTTGCCTTCACTGTCACTGCTTTGGACGATGTGTCTGTAAAGATGTTTTTGAGGTGCAAGTCATGTAGTATTTCACCTATATTTCTTTCTATATATTTTATGGTTTCAGGTCTTATGTCTAGTTCTTTAATCCATCTTGAGTTGGTTTTTGTGCATGGTGTGAGGTAGTAGTCAAGCTTCATTTTTTTGCATGTAGCAACCCAGTTTTCCCAGCACTATTTATTGAACAAACTTTCTTTGCTCCATTGCATATTCTTTGCTCCTTTGTCAAAAATTAGTTGACCGTAAATCTGAGGGTTTATTTCTGGATTTTCTATTCAATTCCATTGGTCCATGTGTCTGTTCTTGGTCCAATACCATGCAGTTTTGATTATTATGGCTTTGTAGTATTATGGCTTTGAAATCTGGGAGAGTGATGCCACCATTCCCCTCTTTTTTTTTCAGGAGAGCTTTGGCTATTTGGGGCTTTTGGTGGCTCATATGAGTTTCATCAATATTTGTTCCATTTCTTTGAAGAATGTCATTGAAATTTTTATTGGAATAGTACTGAATCTGTAAATTACTTTTGGTAGGATGGCCATTTTGATAATGTTAATTCTTCCAATCCATGAGCAGGGGATATCTTTCCATTTCTTTTTGTCTTCTTCTATTTCTTTTAACAGTGTTTTATAGTTTGTTTGTTTGTTTTTTTTTTTGTATAGGTCCTTTACCTCTTTTGTTAGGTCTATTCCCAAGTATTTGATTTTTTTTGTTTCAATAATAAAAGGGTTTTTCTTGATTTCTTCATCTTCAGATTTATTGTTTGTGTATAGGAAGGCTACTGATTTTTGTGTGTTGATTTTGTATCCTGCCATTTTACTAAACTAATTGATTAGTTTAATTAGTTTTCCTGTGGAGTTTTTGGGTTCTCTATGTAGATTATCATATCATCTGCAAATAGTGATAGTTTGACTTCTTCTTTTCCTATTTGGATTCCTTGTGTGTCTTTCTCTTGTCTTATTGCTCTGGCTAGGACTTCCAGTATTATATTGAAAAACAGTGGTGAGAGTGGACATCCTTGTCTTGTTCCAGATCTTAATGGGAATGCTTTCAGCTTTTCACCATTGAGAGTGATACTGGTTTTGGGCTCATCATATATGGCCTTTATGATGTTGAGGTATGTTCCTCGTATCCCAAGAATTTCACGGGCCTTTATCATAAATGGGTGTTGTACTTTGTCAAAAGCTTTCTTAGCATCTATTGTTATTATCATATGGTTTTTACATTTCTTTTTGTTGATGTTTTGGATTACATTGATTGATTTTTAGATGTGGAACCATCCTTGTGTCTCTGGAATAAATCCTACTTGGTCATGGTGAATTATTTTATGGATACATTGTTGGATTCTGATAGCTAAAATTTTATTGAGGATTTTTGCATCAGTGTTCATTAGAGGGATTGGCCTATAGTTTTCTTTTTGTGTTGTCCTTGTTCAGTTTTGGTATTAGTGTAATGTTGGCTTCATAGAATGTGTTTGATATTATCCCTTCCTTCTCAATTTTTTCAAAGAGTTTGTGAAGGATAGACCCTAATTCGTTTCTGAATGTTTGGTAGAATTCATTTGTATATCCATCTGGTCCTGGACTTTTGTTTTGGGGGAGGGTTTTGATTACCATTTCAATTTCACTGCTTGTAATTGGTCTGTTTAGGTGTTCTATTTCTTTTTTATCTAGCTTTGGGTGATTGTAGAGTTGTAGGAATTTGTCCATCTCTTCTAGATTGTTGAGCTTGTTTGCATATAACTGTTCATGGTAGTTTCTGATTATTCTTTTGATTTCTGCTGTGTCTGTTGTGATTTCTCCTCTTTCATTTGTGATCCTATTTATGCTTTCTCCCATTTTTCCTTTGTGGAATAGTAGTGGGAAAAGGCATCAAGGAGAGAAAGGGAAGCCTGGAGAAGATTTGATGCTAAATTAAATTCAGAGACTTGGCTATTTCATGGAATAGCCATTCTAATTGTTGGATAGAGACTGTGTTTTCAACTTAATATGACAGTTGGACTGCCCTGTATTTAGGAATCAGTGGGAAAGTATAAGAGGTATGAGTTGGCTCATGGGACTGATAGAAGATAATTAATGTTTTGATCACTATGCTTCAAAGTTGTGAGCTCTACCAGTTATATTTTCTATTTATATTTCCATATAATTTCCCATTGACAGCTCACATTCAAGCTGTCCCAACAAATTCATTCTCTTTTTTCCCACTAATTTCTGTTTCCTTCCTCATTTCTGTTTCTGACAACATCATTTTTCTGGTCTTTCAGGCTCAAAATCTAGGCATTGACCTCAATTCTTCAAGCCAGAAATCTACTGATTTTTCCTTCTGTTTAGCTTCTCTGATGAAACCTGCAACAAGGTAGGAGAAATGTTCTGGTTACCTGCACCTACTTCTTTGCTGTTTCCACTGGTAATCTCTGATGAAGGTGTTCATATTTATACTTGTGAATGTGACCCCATTGTCACAGATGAATGGATCAGCAATTAAGGACAGCTTGATAAGTAGTTATGCCAGAGCAGTCTGCTTCCCTCTCAAGTATGTGAACCAATACAATCTTTTGCTGAATGATTTCAAGAGGGTTTTTATTCCCAATAACCAGCCCAGTTCTGAGGGGGAAAAGACTCAACATTTAATCCCTTTGAGGCTTAATTTTAATATTTGTAACATTTAATCCCTACTCCATCACTTATACTAGTAGTGGCATGCTAGGAAATTTACTAGTTTTTGGAAAATTCTAGGCAATTGAGGTATAATTCACATACCATAAAATTCACCATTTTAAACTATAAAGTTCAGATGTTTTACTTTTATATTCATATGGTTGTATAGCTATCACCATTATTTAAGTTGAAGACATACTCATTACCTCAGAAAGAAACCTCACACCTATTAGCAATCATTTCTCACTCTCTTTTTCCCTCCTGTCACTGGAATGTAATCTACTTTCTGTCTCTAGAAATTTGCCATTTCTGAATATTTCATTCAAATGGAACCACACAGTATTTGGCATTTTGTGTCTGACTTCTTTAATGTAGCACAGTGCCTTTAAGGTTCATCCATGTTGTAGCATGTGTCAGTACTTTCTTCTTTTTGAAGACTGAATAATACTTTATTTTATGGTTATCAGTTCATGGATATTTAGGTTGTTTCCACATTTTGGCTATTATAAATAATATTGCTGTAAACATCTGTGTACATGTTTGTGTGTGAATATATGTTTTTATTTCTCTTTTGGTATGTACCTGGAGTAGAATTTTTGGATCTAATAGTAACTCTATGTGTTTACCTTTTTGAGTAATTGTCAGATTGTTTCCCATTTGGTTGTACCACTTTACCTTCTCATGAGCAATGTATGAAGACCCCAATTTTCCATATACACACCAACATTTGCAATTTTCCCATTTTTTTAAAATTATGTTCTCCTTAGTGGCTATAAAGTGGTATCTCATTGTGATTTTTATTGCTTTTCTTTTGAAACGCTGATTCTTTTCAAAATGGAAAGAACTATTATTTTTTCATTGCTTTTGTTCATTGTAAAATGCATTGAGGTAGTATAGCAGTTATTAAAATGAATATGAAAATTGTCCATAACTCTATCCACCTAGTGATAACCACCATTAAATTTTGTAAGAGGGTAATAGTTTGGAGAGCTATTTCATCTAGGCCTTGCAATGGCTTATTCTATAGTAACTAAAGTTCTTTTTTACCAGTTAGTAATTTCCTAGTTTACCGTCTTATTCTTAGAAAATGTAAATCTTTGTCATCTCCTACCTCCTATTTATGTAATCTTTAGATAATTGCTTAAAACAGTTTTATTTAGTTAAATGTCTTTCCTGTCTAAATTATATCCTGTCTTAGAAGTGAGAAAAGGAATAACCATTTATTGAATTCCTATGAGATGCCAGGCATAGTATTAAGGCACCTTCATTGTATTACCTTATTTGATATTAAAACAACTCTAGGAGGAAGGTCTTTTTTTTTTTTTAAGATTTATTGTATTTATACAAAAGCTGGGGTACAGAACAGAGTTGCTGGAGGGTGAGAGGATTCACCAGAGACAGAGAGGGAAGCAGAACAGGCAGACGGACTGAAAGCACTGCTGAGTGGACATAACTTGGGCTTCTCTGGTGGCGCAAGGGCTTAAGCACCGCACTATGAAGCAATCCACAGCTGCTGCAGCACCAATTCAATCCCCGGCTGGCCAGGGAGCAGCCACATGTTGCAGCAGACCTCTCCTGACTCGCCCACTACTCCCCTCAGCAGTGTACTTCAGTCAATCTGCCTGCTCTGTTCCCCACTGTCTTTGGTGAATCCTCTCACCCCTTGCATCTCTGGCCTGTACCCCAGCTCTTGCATGCATAAATAAATAAATCTTTAAAAAAAATAAAATAAACATAACTTTATAGCAAGTCTTAGAAACAAGTAGGAGAAACAACTAGTGTTGCTCTTCTTTTTCAAAATTGTTTTGTTTCTTCTAGATTGTCCATATTTCCAGATTTTAAAATCAGCATTGGATTGTAATTGAGATTGCACCAAAACTATACATCAACTTGGAGAGAATGGATATCTTCACTATATTAGGTCTTCTGACCCATGAGCACTTATATCTCTCCATTTATTTTAGGTGTTCTTTCATTCATCTTAGCTCTGCTTGCTAGTTTTCAATGTACAAGTCTTGCACATCTTTGCAGATTAACTTTGAAGTATTTAAAAGTTTTAATTACTTTATAGTGGTATTTAAAAATTTCACTTTCCAGTTGTTTTTCTTATTATATAGAATACACTTTATTTTTGTGTAGTGAGCTTTTGGCATCCCATATCCTTGCTAAACTCATTTATCCTATCTGCTTCTTTGTAGATTCCATCAGTTTTTCTACATGGTGATCATGCTACTTTGAAATAAAGACAGTTTTACTTTTTCTTTTCCTATCTTGAGGTGTCTGTTTCTTTGTCTTATTGCAACATAGAATCAAGTATAGTCTTCTGTATTTGATCTTGTTTAGTTTCTTCTGTTCAGTCTTTCATTATTAATTATGATATTGACTCTAAGTTTGCTTTGTTCTCTGCCCTTTATCAGGTTGAACAAGTTCTCCTCTATTCCTAGTTTACTGAATACTTTTATAAGGAATGGATGTAAGATTTTGTCAACTGTTTTTCTGCATCTATTTAGAGAATTATGTATTTTTCTATTTTAGTTTGTTAAAATGGTAAATCATATTGATTGATTTTGAACATTAAATCAGTATTGTATTCCTATGATAAAACCCATTGGTAATTATGTACTCTAATATCCTTTTAATATGCATACTCTTTATATATATTAAATGTCATTTTTTTAAAAAGATTTATTTATTTATTTATACAAGCACTGGATATAGTCAGAAGCGTGGAAGGGTGAGAGAATTCACCAGAGCCAGAGGGGAGAGCAGAGCAGGCAGACTGACGAGGTACACTGCTGACGGGAGCAGAGGGCGGCAGGAGAGGTCTGCGTGCCATGTGGGACCCTCACCCGGTGGCCGGGAATTGAACCAGCGCTGCAAAGGCTGCAGGCAGCCTCGCAACCCAGTGCTCAACTGCTGCGCCACCGGGGAGGCCCTTAAATGTCATTTTTATCTATTGTTTGTTTTGATTTGCTGAATTTTATTTAGAATACTCATGTCTATGTTCATGAAGAATATTGGTCTGCAGTTTTCTTGTAATGTCTTTCATTTTGAAATCAATGTAATGCTTGCCTTATGGGATTAATTCAATAGAATTTATTTTTGTTCAGTTTTTGATAGTGTTTATTTAAAATTGATGTTTCTTCATTAAATGTTGGGAAGAATTCACCAGTAAACACTGGAGTTTTTTTTAATGGACTGTACCAATTGCAAAGACAATCTCTTTGAGTGAGTCTTGGTAGTTTGTGCATTCAGGGAGATTTTCTATTTTCTTTAAAATAGTCAAAGAGGGCCTCCCCTGGTGGCGCAGTGGTTGAGCGCTGGGCTGCGAAGCTGCCCGCAGCCTCTGCAGTGCCGGTTCGATCCCTGGCCACTGGCGAGGGTCCCACATGGCGCGACAGACCTCTCCTGCTACGCCCACTGCTCCGCTCAGCAGTGTATTTCGTCAGTCTGCCTGTTCTGTTCCCCGCTCTGTCTCTGGTGAATCCTCTCACCCTCGCGCGCTTCTGACTGTACCCTGGTTCTTGTATAAATAAATAAATCTTTAAAAAAAAAAAAATAAATAAAAAATAAAATAGTCAAAGAATTGTCCATAATATTCCCTTTTTAAAACTTTTAATATTTACAGAATCTATAGTTATGTCACTTTTTAAATTATTGATGTTGGTAATTTTATCCTCTTTTTTCCTTATCATTCTAGTCAATAATTTGTCAATTTTAGTCATTTTCCCCCCCCTATCCAGTTTTTGGCCTTATTTCTTCTCTATTATTTTCTGAGATATTATGCAAAATTCTTTTAAAGGAATGTGGGTCATTCTATCATTTGTACTATTAAATATTTTTATATTGTAATGTAATAGTTGATATATTTCTTCTCTATTATTTTCTGAGATATTATGCAAAATTCTTTTAAAGGAATGTGGGTCATTCTATCATTTGTACTATTAAATATTTTTATATTGTAATGTAATAGTTGATATATATGAAAGACTATATTTAATTTATTAAATATTATTAAGTATAATAAATAAATACCTTTTAACTTGGTATATTACTTCTATACTTGCCAGATACTGCCCATTCTTAATTTTCATCCCACTTTATCTCTTGTAAAGTAACTTTTTGTACAATTATGGAGGCATGATTGTGGGGTGTGTTTTTTTTTTTTGGTACATTCTAATTGCACCTAAAAAAAAAACTGTTCTCAGTTGTTTTTCTAAGGTAACATGTACTGAGTACTTGCGATTTACAAGGCAAGTATTATCAGTGCCCTAGGGAACAGATGTTGCCATCAGTAATTCTGTGAATGAACTTTGCTTTATGCCACATTCAAAAGCAAACCCAACCCTAGCTTAAACAGATATGGATTTGTTTTTCTCTCTCAATAAGAAAATCTACAATTAATATTAGGAGACTAATATGGCAATGTCATATGTGATATCTTGTCTTACCTTAGGTTCATAGACCTTGAACTTACGAAATTTCTGAGCATGGGATTTGCTAAGGAAGTGTTACAAGAAAGACTGTTAAAGGAGTTGGAGCAGGGCAAAGACAGACAGAGATCTAAGCAAGAATGCCATCTCATGATAAAGTCCGACAGAGTATAGTTTTATCATGAACTCTATTGTAGAATTTTTTTTTTAGGCATGTTTTTATTTTATTTATTTATTTGTTTGTTTGTTTTGTTTTGTTTATACA